CAAAAACAATCTTCAGGTAAGTCTTCTCTGGTTCACAAGGCATTGAGGTCTTCAGGTCCATCTTAGCTGAAGAGGGTCACTTTCTTGTTTCAACAGCCTGTGATGAGAGTCGATGTAATGTAACATCCCAAGTTTAGAAGCAAGAAGTTGAAGGATGCTAAGTGAAAATAAAGGAAGGAACTTGGCGTGTAGGTCTCTTGACTCGCGAGTCGAAGCAGGTGTCGGGCACGTGGTTAAGTGGCCTGACTCACCGAGTCGGCGGCTGGACTCGACGAGTCAGTACTGGATGAGGAAAAACCCTAATCTTCGGGGTTGCACCCTATTTAAATGACGTAATGTCCTCCCCTTAGCTCCCTTAGCCCCCTTTGAGATCTAGAAGCTCTAAATCCATTGTGAGAGTCCTTGAAAACGTAACTGGAGCATAGATAAGTGTTTTGTGAAGAGATCTTGAGGATCAAGAAGCTTGGATCAAGGAGATTGTGGAGATTCAGATTACTCTTCAGTAGGAGATCGTTTTGGAGGTAATGAATCGTTATCATTGGCCTTCTCCTTTCTAGATCTATCTTTCATGGAGTTTTAGGGTTTGTTTGGAGATGATATGATAAGATCTTGGTGCATAAGTTAGATCTGGAGTTGAAACTCCAGATATGAGCTCCATTTGGATCAAAGATGCAGAAAGCCCTTTTGGTTGCTATGCAAAAGCGATTTCCCATGAGTTAAGTTCCTTTCTAGCTTGGTTTTTGGTATTATGGGACAACAAGCACGTAAAGGTAGCAACTTTATGTTGCTAATGGACTCTAGAAACCCAGATCTATTATTTGGAGCAAAGGAGTAACTCTGTGACTTGAGATTATGGAAATGCACGTATGGACTCGGCGATTCGGGCTAGGGATTAGACTTTGAGTCGTGTAGTGACTCGGCGAGTCGCATGGGTGACTTTGCGAGTCATATGATGATGAGCTTGATATCGACGAGTTGAAGAACAACTCGAAGAGTCTGATGAAGATTGCCGTGGACTCGGCGAGTCACGACGCAGAACCCCCAACCTTGTCTGCTTAAGACTCAGAGTTGTGAGTTGAGTGGTGATTCAGTGAGTTGGGCAGATTGGGACTCGGAGATTGTTAGACTCGACGAGTCATGGGGTGACTCGGCGAGTCGAGTCAATCGGAAGGTTGACTTTGACTGAGGAATTTGACTTTGACCTTCAGGGGTATTATGGTAATTTTGTAATTTATGTCATTGGATCATTGATTGCTTTAGGTGTTGGAGTTGGAGGCAGTGCTTCGGGATTTAGCTTTTGCGGTTCGGTTTGACGGATTTTAGATAAGTTAACCTCACTATATCGACAGGGTCTACGGCACCAAGGCCGACCCTTTATCGGATGGAAATCCAGGTATTGTTTGATATGTTATTGATTTTCTAGATCTATATCCTGGTATTTAGGATGATATTATATTAAAGACCTGGTTAAGGTCAGTACCCCGGTATATAGGGTAATGTTATGTTAGTAACCCGTTAGGCTGGAATCCTGGTTAGGATGTTGATATGCTATGTGATCTGTTAGACTGTCTGTCTGGTTAAGGATTGTTATGTGATTAATTATTTTATGTACACATGGTTGTTTGACTGGGGTTGGGTTGAGGTGGGTCCTGCTTTGTATTGTAGGCCAACATACCCAGGGCGGACCGGATATTCCTAAGGCCCAGCGAGCGGTCCGAATAGGCTGAAGGCCCCAAGAGGGCGAACCAGACGTGCCGAGGCTCGGAGAGTGGACTAGGCCGACTGAAGGTCCGGTGTGAGCAGACCAGTCATACTGTAGACTCAGAGAGTGGACCAGGTGAATTGAAGGCCCGATTCGGGCGGACCAATCACACTGTAGACTCGATGAACATAGCTAGACTCGGAGGGTGGACCAGGTGGACTGAAGGCCCGGTGCGGGCGGACCAGTCACACAGTAGACCCGTTATGCATGGTTGTTCTATTTTACGATATGTTATGAGTATGGTTATGGGTGGTTGGTATTTTGGGGGTAACTTACTAAGCTTTCGGGCTTACAGTTTAGTGTTTTGTTTCAGGTACTTCAGGAGATTGTGGCAAGACAATGGCGAGATCGTACCGCTCCTCATTTTATGTTGATGTTTCTGGGAGACTCTGATAATAAATAAATTGAAAACCTTTTTGTAATAATTTATGGATAAGGATTGTTTTGAAAAGTTAAAATTAGTTGGAAATTTTATGGTCGTTACATGTAAACTATAAAAAGTTTATAACATGTTATATTTATATATGAATGATACTTAAAATGTAAAAAAATTTAAACATATTTTTTATTCATAAGTGAATAAAGAATGTATTGTAATAAAAATCGGATGTGTTTTTATTCACTTGTGAATAATGAGAGGTGAAACTATCAAAAAGTAAATTTTTTATTTTATTTTAAAACTATATCAATATGGATGTCTATTTATAAAAATAAAAAATTATAAATTTTGATATATTTAAAATCGTTTTTCGACTAAAATAACTCCTTAAAAAATAGTTTTCTTTTTAAAATATTATGATAATAATTAGTATAGTTTAAATAAACGTATTTAATTTCAAAATATATGTTTATTCATTTCTTCTTTCGATGATGAATGATTTTGTAGCAAAAATAAATAATTGGTTAAGAATATTTTATTTATTCTTAAACTTTTTTACTCTCTCTCTCTCTCTCTAAGACACACACAATTGAAATTACCTACCTATCTCTCTTTCAAGTATCAAGTATGTTTAGTGTTTACAATTTTAAGATCAATGATTTTAGACATTAGGCATAGTCAATAGTTATTACCACATTGAATCAAAAAATAAAAAGTTACTTAATAAAATATTGTAGTAGTTATTATAGTTACATTACTAATTTATAAATTAGTGGCAAAGAAAATTGCCTGATTTCATTGCTATTTAGCTATTACATTTAAAAATTAAAATAAAGGTGGTGATATACCATTATTAATTTGTATCAATAAAATTTGTTGGTAGCCAAACAAATTAATAAGAAATATATAATTGATACCGTATTACTAATTATAAGTGGTGGTGTAACTACATAGAGACAAAAGTGGTATGGATGTGTATGGAGCGGTTTGGTTCGGTTATTGGTCAAAACCGAACCATAACCATTACAATTGGTTAATGTATTTCAATAGCTATTGGGTAGCGGTTAATATTGGTTTTGGATAACAGGTTTAGTCGATTAATGGTTATGGTTAATGGTTAATATTGGTTAACCATAATGGTCAAAGATGACATAAAATTAAAAATACTTTTCTATAAAAATTAAAAAATGTAAAGTCCATTGTTATAAAAAGTGAATGATTATGTATATATAATTGTATTGTAGAAGATTACTTATCATATCTAATTCTAGATAATTACCCTTTAAATTTTTAATTCTTCATATAATTACATATAATATACTCCTTACGCCTGATATTTATTGTTTACTTTTGACTTTTAAAGTATTTATTGTTCAACTTTAACCTTAAATATTTTTATTTATGTTATAAATTACTTGATAAAACTTATAAAATGAAAAGACATTTAAAACACAATCGATGCATATATTTTGCATCAAGTACTATATATGAAAAACAAAAATAATTAAGATTAAAGTTGAAATATAAAAACTTCAAAAGTAAAAAGTGGACAATAAAAATGAGATGAAGAGATGGGGTATTTAATATTATATTATAATAAAAATATTTTAATATTATTGGTTGATTCGGTTCGGTTCGGTTCAATTATATTGGTTAATTTGGTTATTGTTGGGTTTTTCGGTTAATATGCTTACCCCTAAAAAGTGGATCTTGGCCCACTCCACAAAAGTTCAAGTATATATATATATATATATATATATATATATATATATATATATATATATATATATATATATATATATATATATATATATATATATATATATATATATATATATACACTAGCAGTGCACCCGCGCAAAGCGGTGGGGCGTGTAAATTCTTTCAGTGATATGTTTCCTCTACAAAAATGTTATGTTACAAAAGAAAGTACACGTCGAAGACAAAATAATCAAACTATGGTGTTATTTGGGAAATGAAGTCATTTTTTGTTCCTGGACGGTGGACTTTATAGTAGAGGAGGGAGCAAAGAGGTATATACGATTGGAGGGATATTTGAATCAACATGCTAAATTTAAGGATATCTAAAAGGGTTCAAAATTTGAATGAATCCGAGATTTGAGAAAACCATATCAAATTGTTGAGAAATATAAGAAGATTTGATGATAAATATTTGAATTCAAAATATGGTTAAAATTTAATATTATTTTATTAATGATTACTTGTACTATCAGCTTCATCATTTGGACGTCTTAAAAAAATATTATTATTATAATCAATCTATTTTTAAAAATAGTTTGATTTCTTTTATAAGATAGTATATATATATATATATATATCAAATAAAAGGAATTAATTCATTCAAAACATCGTATCCCCATATCTAGTTCATACTTTGTAAATTATTTGGCTGCTATAATTCAAAACTTTAGATCCTATAAATCGTTCATATATTGTAAATTTTTTGACCCATCCTAAAATAAAATCCCCCACTGCCAATTCATTGTACACAGTTTGAATAAAAATAAATTGGTATCTTGGGCCCTAATAAAATTAATACTAATTGATCATTAAAACCAAAAAAATCATGTCGACATAAGTTACCGAATTCATTCTGTTCACCTACGTGACATAAATAAATATAAACAGAAAATTTGTGACCTGGAGAAGAAATATGTGTCGTATAGTCGGGCGAAATTGCCCTAGGCAAAACCGATTAAAATATGTATAATATACTATAGGTCTATCCAAGTGGATAAACATCAAGAATGGCAATAGCAGACTTTAAGAATTGATCCTCTATTTCATACATGACACTCACATATGAAGACAACAATAACCTCTTCAAAGCACTTACACGTCAAATCAGATAAGAGCACAAAAGACAATAGCAACAACCTTTTGCCTCTCTAGACTAAATATAAACCTTCTTTTTGTTTTCAACTTTTCAAAACTTAAAGAAACCATAAGAGAAAGAGAGAGAGATTTGTGTGTTGTTGCAAATGGCGGAGGAGAATCTTGGAATTTCAGCCATAGATAACCCCATGAAGAATTATAAGGTGATGGTGGCAATCGACGATAGTGAGTTTAGCGAATATGCCCTCATGTGGGTCCTAAAAAACCTTGGCTCCACCATTCGTGATTCACAACTTGTTATCTACACAACCCGAACCCCAGTTGATATCGGCTATTTGTATGCATCTTCTTGGGGAAGTATGTCGTTGTTTATCTATCTATATATCAATTTATCCTTATAACTACTACTCCTAAGGATGAAATGGTTTTACTTAGATTCACTTCCTTGTTATTGCAGCCGCTGAACTGATGAAGGAGCTAAAAGAAAGTGAGAAAAAGGCAGCTCTTGAGTTACTCGAGAAAGCTAAAACTACATGCACTGATTACGGGGTGTGATTTCGTTTTCTCCAAACTTACAACTAATTACAAACTGAGTAACTTAGATTTTGTTACAAAGAAATGGATTAAGTTCTTCTTGAATTTACAGATCATTGCAGAAGGAATGACAGAGGTGGGAGACCCTAAAGTGGCCATTTGCAATGCAGTAGACAAGTTAAACATTCAGTTGCTCGTGGTAGGTAGCCATGGTCGTGGAGCTGTCACAAGGTTTGCTTCAATATATGTTTGAGTAAATTACACGAATGGTCCCTATGGTTTGTGGTAATTTGCACATTTGATCCCTAATTTACTTTAACTCGGAAGGTCGTTTTTGTTACGCGTTTGGTCCTTTCTATTTGTTTTTGTTACGCGCTTGGTCGCTGTCTTACCTAAAAAGACTATTATTTGAATATGGAAAAATGATGGGATAGATAGGGTAAGGTGAGGAGAGTATGGTTGAGAGTGTGTTTATTTAAATAAATTAAAAAATCAGGGGTAAAATAGTCTTTTTAGGTAAGACAGAGACCAAGCGTGTAACAAAAACAAACAATAGGGACATTCCGAGTTAAAAAAATAAGTTGGGGATCAAACGTGCAAATTACCCTAAACCATAGGACCATTCACCATTCGTGTAATTTACTCTATATGTTTTTAAAAATAACTAAGTTATTTTCGTAACTATGAATAATAGCTCTTTTAATTAATAGTATTAGAAAGTTGATATTTTTTTTTAAACAATATTACATGAATCAACTATAACTTTATAGTAAAACATTTTTTGTGCTTCATTTGAACAGGACGTTGTTGGGGAGTGTGAGCAATTATTGTGTCCACCATGCCAACTGCCCAGTTCTTGTCGTCAAGAAAACAGACTAATGAATATGTATTCCTTTTCATATGTCCATAATATAAATAACAACGTATGTATAAAACAATAAAGAAGTTCATGTTTTGGAATTAAAATGGTAATATATCTGAAAAAATGTTAACACTAGAACAATATTTCATCTCAATATTATATCTTAAAATGTTAACATTATAATAAGAGGAATAAAATATCTCATCCAAATATTTTGTTAAGAGTTGCTGCCAATCTAACACCACCTTGAGCTAATCGCCAATTAACAATTGGTAAACGTGACAAAAAGTAATCATCTCCAAGAACCGAATCATTCCCAACTCCTTTGTATGCCCAACTACATGCTGCTTTTATTCCTTCACTTGCGTATCTATTTCAACAATCAAATTTATAAAAACAAAAAAATTAAAAAATTTACATTTCTAATTGTTTTTTTGCATCTATGTATTATATATATATTGTTTCACGTACATGTTAGGACAAGTATTCTGATTTCTGGCGCATTTCTCCCATGTTGGAACTTGATCTGCCCATTCTTTCTGCCAAATAAAAAGTATAAAAAAAATTTAATAACTAAAATCCCACCCAAAAAAAAAAAAAAAAACTTCTAAAATTATTAAACATGTCATGTAATATTATTGTAATGTAATAATACCTTTATGTTAGTCTGAATTGCGTTGACGAGATTTTCAACATTAGAATCATAGAATCTTTCTTCTGAAGTCTCAATTATGCTGTCATCCCAAACCTGTTTAACGTATCGTATGTATCTTTTGATCATTAGTTTAAAAAATTAATAATAATCTTAATTTATATTACATAATGATAATTATTTTAGGAGTTTTACATGATGAAGTTCTGATTTTCTTGTGAACCAATGAACATTAATCGAGTTCCCACCTCTATCCGAAGTGAATCCTACATGTAGCGGCTATAACAGGGGCAATTTAGTCTTTTCACTTGTTAGAAAAAAAAAGTCAAATCGATTATTATTACCATATACCTGATGAATGTCTCCCATGAAATGAGAAAGAAAAAGAAGTGCCTCTGTAAGATTATCTGCAAAGATATGTTTAATGTTGTTCATCTTCATAGTTCATTTAAGATCTAGAAAGTAGAAACAAAGAATTAGATGAAGAAATCTCCGAATTTAATTACACTGAGTTGTTTGTTTGCCATAGTCGAGTAGCTGAGTGGTGTAGTTGTTAATTGCCCCGGCGACACATCTTCCGGCAACCCCATCTTCATCCTTACAGTCCCCTGTTTACAAAATCACCATTTGAGCACATAAACATGGCGATTAACAGAAAACAAAACTAGAATCTCGATTCTCCACTACTACTTACTGGTGTATTGATAAGTGCAGAGATTATCAGGGGTATCGATGTAATGAAGCGCCGACGACCAATGATATCGGAACTTGACATGATCTGCCCACGAACATTGACTCGCTAAATCACCCTCTGCGTATTTTGGTAACAGATCTTTGACTGCGTTTGATGCTGCTTCACTCAATCTTCCCTGAGCTATCTTGCAGGTTGTGTAATGGCCGTCGACGCCCCAGCCGTGGACGGCGGCCGGTAAAAGAAACAGAAGGAGCAACGGTAGGGCGCTTCTCAGGGACTCCATTTGTGAGTTTGGGAACGTGGGTGTGGGGTGATTTATCATGGATGTGAAATGGGGAAGTGTGAAAGTGTAATGATGAGATCGAACGAACTTTTTTGGCGATTTGTGGGCGATTTGTTGTTTTTTTGGTAATGTGTTCACATTTGTTTACATGGTATGATTCTGAATTTTTGATTGATTTGTGAGATTATTGTTTTTGTATGTTAGGAGATCATAAGGAAGGTTGTTTTGGTTCTTTTGAAGGAAAACGTGGCAGATATGGCAATGAATTGAATCAAAATTTGTTTATTATTAATATTATTATTATTATATTATATGGATATGGACACATAATGAATGATAATCAAGGGTATATATGTATCTTTAAAGTTATATTTTAACATCTATTTATTTTTGTTATTTAGATATTTTCGTAAGTGGGATAAAATCGAATGAAGGAGATAAATGGGATAATATTATGAATAAAATATAATATGCTAAAATAGGGTTAAAGATGACGAATAGGCTATAACTTATAAAGAATATTACTATTTTAGGAATTAGGATAAGGCTTTTAGATAGTAGAAACTAGAAAGGTATTTTGGTCAATTCGGTATTTGGGTTAATGAAAAGGTGCACCGATGGGAAAGTGAGTGTAGAGGTGCAAATGTCACTTAGATAAGGAAATAAATAAATAAATAAATAAAACCTTCAATTTGGTTTATAGTTTATAGAACGAAACACATACACCACTTATAAAATAGATAATAGAAGTGATTAAATATTCAATCTTAAATAGTATTACAAAATACAACAATAGATATGTGGAATAGTAAAAAGATAAAGGAAGGTGAACTAGATCAAAAACAAAAATCTATATTGGTTCCCCCACCTTGAGGCTAGTTCGTTTTGATGGATATCTCCAAACTCTTCAAATTCAACTATGATCCATTAGAGGAATTGATTGGGATGTCAAGCCCACCAAGCAAATTACACCTTTTGATTGCTAAATAAACGTAATATAATAGTAAAAAGGGGTATCGATCCTCGGGGAAATGGTTGTATTTAATCACCAATGCAATTCAATAGAACTAGTGAAATTAAACTAACTAACTACAATTAAAATAAAGGGGGGGGGGGTGTTTGATTACTTGAAAACTAAAATACTTGAATAACTAAAAACTTGCAATTAAGCAAGTTGATGAGATGCTCAAAGATTGTGAATAATTGGTTAACTAAGGCAATTCAACACAATGAACATTTGTGTGTTTATCATTAGGATCTAATACAAAGCTTATCCTTCATCCCAAATTGGTTATAGCAATCATGAAGCATGATATGCCAAGATTCCTCATAGGTAGTATGGAGGTTGGGGAAGCCCACAACACACCTTCTTAATTAAGATCAAGGGTCAATTGAAGCAATTAATCCCAAGAAATCAATTAGCCTTAAGAATGAAGGAATCCCCAATTCCTAGAGGATGTCAAATGCTTACACATCCATAAAGGAGATATGATTCATAAGCTAGAGATGATTTCTACCATCATAAAGCCTTGTTCTAGATAAATTCAATGATCCAATGCAAAATCAATGAAATAAATCAACTATTGCTCAATCAAATACTAAGCTCATGATCAAAGTATCAAATAAGCATAAGAATTGCAAACTAGAATCATAAACATGGAATAAATTGATAATCAACATAAATCCTTCAAAACCCACAAACATTCATTGGTTTTCAGCCAAAGTCAACCAAATAAGAGTATTAGCCACTCATGGCAACAAAGTAACAAGAACAATAATCTAATTGCATAAAGAAACTACCTAAGATTTGGAAAGATGAAAGGAAATGATTTCTAGCTCCCAAAATCGCCTCTTGCAGGTCTCCAATGGTGGAAAATCGTGAATGAGCTTCTAGATCTGATCCCCAAGGGTTATGGCAAGCCAAATGACCAAAATGCCCAAACTTGGCAGTTGCGTGGGTACCCGCGTGACGAAAATTCCACCCGCGCAAATGTTGCTGTAATGCTATTGGTCCACCAAGCCACTCGACCCTTCCACTACCAAAGATTCCTTTGGTCCCCCCTCCTTGTCCATGTAATTTGAAATGCACCAATCATCATTTAGCCACCAAATGGATGCTCCAAGCCCAAAATTTGAATTTTATGATCCATCTTCACAAGCCCAAATAATCTAAGCCAATAACTTTCAAAGCCCAATTCTTCCTCTTTGATTCCGCCAAGCCCAATAATGCCTCGGGAGCCCACTAAGCACGTCTCCAATCAACCCGCAACCGCAACAAGCACCGAAAAACCTACAAAATATCTCATGCAACATAACAAGCACCCAGTACGATCCATACTAAAGAAAAATAAATAAAATAAAATGCATTAATGATAAAAAGATCTAAAAATCTAAAATAAACTAATAAAAATAAGGAAATAAAATAAGCTATCAAATCACCCCAAGCTTAAACCTAACTTGTCTTCAAGTTAGAACAAGACTAAAAATGAGCTCGGGATGAACTATCTAAAAAGGAAAAAGAAAGATACCAATGAACTTGGTCAACATCAGTCAACATGGTCAGAATTAGTCCTTCATGGACCCTACGCATCTTCAAAATGTTCCCCGCTTTAGAGCCATAAACCACATTCTTAACCACTTGATGGGAGAATAGATCACGACTGGATGCGGTCACGGTGTGCAAGACAAAGGAAACAGAGATGCGCCCAGTGGGGGCACTTTAAATCACCAATGTAGACCATAGTGCACGAAGGAAAGGCGCCTCTTCACACACTATGATTCCTACATTTGTCAGGCCAAAGTGTATAATAATGAAATAGGGTTTTGCAGCACGGCCTCCGGGCAAACATCCGGTTGCAGAGGCTTCTCCCTTGTACTATCCTTTACAGTCTACCGTCTCATCGTCGGGGCCTTTTCTCACCAAAAATCAAAAATAAAATAAAATAATAAAAATTATACTTAACCTAAATCTAAACCTAACAACCTAAATCTCTAATCTTAAACTTCTGTTATTGGGTCTTCAATCACATTCGCTGCTTGACATCCAGGGTTTTTTTTTTTTTTTTTTTTTTTTTTTTTTTTTTTTGTAATCTAGATATATAACATAAGTCTTGAACTTGAAATCTTGTTCTTCTTTTTGTGTTGCTCTTTTTCTTCATTTTTTTCTTCTTTGTTTTTGTTGCTTTTCTTGAATCATCTTTAATAGGCTCTTATTTTCTTCACTTTTTCAAATTTCTTCATTCTTTGTGTTGCTTCTTGGAAGGTCTAAGGATTTTCACCGAGTAACATATGACTCCAATAGTGAAAATTGAGTGATAGATAGAGGCTAATATGAACACCTAATGATCATTGACAATATGCCAAGATCAACTAAAAAGGGTGGGGAATGACTCAAAAATGGGTGTTACCGAAAAGACTTGGTCCCAAAAGATGTGAATTGGGGGACCCACTTCAAAGTTCATCAAGCACCTCAATGCAAGGTGTGATAAACAAAATCTATCTAACTATCTACTCTAGACCCCTAGAAAAATGATAACCTATCCTAAAAAGGCGGTGAGAATCTAACTAAATAAGGCTCGGACGAGACTCGGGAGTACTAAGGGGTACTCCCTCCAAAACCAAGATGCGAGTCTTCAATATCTTCAATGTCTTCAAAATACCTTATCGGGCTAGTCTTTGCTCGCACACATTAGCATGACCAACCACATCCCTCCGCACCTAGACTCAATCAAGCTACCTGCATCTGACCCCACACAAGCGGTCTCAAAGTGGTCTGTGAGGCTCAAAACGTGCCCCATTCATCAAATACAAGGAATTCCATATCAAGACCCAGGATCAATCTATTATTCAATACTTATGACTCGGCGCTATGGTACCTGTAGGGATGAGAAGACAAGAGAGAACAAGAATGCATGAACTTAAACTAGAATGCATCTAAAAAGTATGAAAATTAGAAAAGAAAGAAAGAAAATATGCAATATTTTTGAATTTTTTATGCAATTTTTATGAATGCCCTAAATGACTAACTCTAAATGCAACTAAATACAACCTAAATGCAATAAAAATAAAAGATTAGATTACCTCACCCCAAACTTAAAATTAAGCATTGTCCTCAATGCTTAGGATGAGAGTAAGGAAGGATCATACCGGGATCAAGATGGAGGAGGGCTGCGAGGAGGATAACCGTCCTCGGGCCGAAAATGATACCATAGGTCCTCCATGTAAGTGTGGGTGCGTGCTTGTTGTTCCTCTATGCGATGGATGGCTGTGGTGTTTCTATTGCCTTGGAGGCGCAAGGAAGCAAGTTGGCTGTAAATATCGAGAGGAAATTCGTGTGCAGGGTCGAGCTCATTGGGTTGCTGGTGTGAGTGGTAGTCATACTGTGGCTGGGAGTGTTCTCGCGAGGGCTGAAAGTGTGACCCAGAGGCTTGAGCTGGATGAGGTGGAGGTAGCTGGCGGATTGGGAGACCATAATGGTCTTCGGCCTCGAATGGGCTATCAGCATTGTCAGGATCCACCTGCGTGTCATCATCCGCGGCTGCGTCATCATCGTCTGGCAAGTCTTGAGGCAAAAACCATGTTTCGGGGTCATTGGTGGTGAAGGTGGAGATACTTGGATTGGGTAAGATGTAAACTGGGTCCTTGACATGGTTTAGCCAAGAGAAATGTCCAAGAAGATTAGGATGAGGTAGAATTAATTCCATCCGCATGAGAGTAATGCAATCGAGAAGGTAAAGAGGTGGATCATCCACTGGGACATATTCAGATGCTGGAAATTGAAGGCTCATACCCAAACCAATGAGGGTAATGAGACCTCTAATACAAATATCACTAGTGGTCTTCGTCCTGAGGCTGTCACATTTGTCTAAAAAGAAGGTGGCGAAATCGGGCAAAGACCAACAGTGGCGCGACATGCAATAGAGAAAATACAACTCAACGGTGTTGATTTGTCCTGGCTCGTGACGAGCAAAGATAGATGTTGATAGGATCCGGTGGGCAATTCTCCAGCAAGGATGCATGATAAACGGGTCTTTTTGGCAACTGGTATTGAACTAGGGCAAGCTCGTGATTTGGGTCCAAAATTCTACGTTGGGCAAGCTTTTGAATTGAGTCCATTGGTAGCTGTAAATGTCGGAGTTGTAGATGTCATATGTGCCCATGATCTTGTTGAGTTTTTTGTACTTGAGTCGGTGCTCGCCGTGTCATTGCGAGCATAGGTGGAGAGGAATTCGATTGTGGGCTGCTTGTAGGTTCGTGCAGAAAGATCGAGAAACTGGTGCCAACCAATGTGGAAAAATAGTTGTCGCAAGTGGTGGTCAAGGCCGAGTTGATCCATAGAATCTTGGTGGTAAAATTTTGTGGGGCGGATTGCATGTTTTTGAAGGTTGGATTTGAACTCTCGGCTTTGGGCACTCATGAGGGTAAGGTTCCCATCACGATCAACATGGTCGGCTTTGGATGGCCCCGAGGATTGAGCTTCACGCGAAGAACCATGAGATGCGTGAATGGTCTTATCCCTTGCCATTGTGCCTGTGAATAAATCTAGCAAAGACAAAAACTTGAACAAGATTATCCCTCACACTCGCCTCACATCAATCCAATCAAATCAAATAATTAAAACCGGGTAATATTCCAAATTGGCAATTTGGCACAATGCAATTCAATTCAATCAATTCAAGGCAAGCTAAGACTAATTCTATTTAACCTAATGCATAACACAAGTCTAGTAAAATTAGAAATTAAATGCAATAAATTAAAAGGGATTACCAACTTTGTGTGTTGAAGTCCGAAAGAAATACGCAAAAATGCGCACCCCAAGCTTGAATTTTTGGCCCACAAATTAAGTCTTTTGAATCTCCGGTGAGAAACAAAGATTTTGAAATTTTTGGAGAAAATTGGTGGTGGCGGCCGACGGCGGCAGTGGACGGCGGCCGGTGGTGGAGCTTGGTTTTCCGGCGATAAGATTTTCCCAAATTAAGAGTAGATCGGTGTGCGGTGGAGTGTTTGGTACAGGTTGCCCCAAGAATTTTTGGAATTGGATGGAAGGTTGTGTCGGGATCTACGGTTTTTCGGTTTTCTGGCGAGGATGAGAAGGGTGGCGGTCGGCGACGGTTTCGGAGTTAAAAAAAAGGGTGGGGTTTAGGCAGAATTAGGTGGGGAAGGTAGTGCTGGTGGAGCGCCGGCGAAGCTTCGCTTTTCCGGCGACGAAAAGCAGATGCGACGGGGACGCCGACGGAGGGTAGCACCGACATGCGGTCAGAGAAGGAACCGGTGGGAGGTGGAAGAAACTGGGTGGAGGCGGAAGATGTGCGTGGTGGCTTTTGGTGGTGCTCGGCTGGTAGCACCGACCGGTAGCGGACGGCGGTTTCGATGGTGGAGGGAGTAGTGGGGACTGTTCGTTGACGGGAGGCACAAGGGTGAAAGAAGGGTCGACTGGTAAAAGGGGTTATAAGGGTGGGTGATAAATGGGTCGAATCCGGTTCAAATAGTGGGTATGGGGCGGGTATCCGGGTGAGTTTTGCAATTTAGGGCAAATATGGTGGCCGCGCAATAAATAAAGTGATTTAGTCTTGTCCGCGCAAATGTCCTATGCGGGTGGGTATTGGCCGCGCGCAACAATCAATTTGCACCCCTTGTTTGTGTAATTTGGAACTCGGGACCTGCGCGGCTGGGGTTGGTCGCGCAAATACTACGCGGGCACCCACGCAAAAGTCAAATTTTTGGAAATTTTCAAACTTCACAAAAATCACTGGAAGGCTTCTATATGCTTATTTTTATGCCCAACTTCAAATGTAGAAACACTCAAAACTTCAAACGGACATTATTTATTTACATTGCATTTATTTAACGTCTTTGCCAAGACATAGTCCCGCTTCCATCAACTTTCGTAATTTGGTATTTCCAATGTTATGTTGTCGAATTCTCTCGTATCAAAGCCTTCATAAAATGGTTTCAAGCGGTGCCCATTCACTTTGAATATTTGATTTGTTTCCAAACTCTTAATTTCAACCGCACCATGATCAAACACTTTTATGACAATAAAAGGTCTGTGCCATCGAGATCGCAACTTTCCCGGGAATAGTTTTAAGCGTGAATGATAAAGAAGAACTTTTTGGCCCGGAATAAAGTGTTTTCGAGTGATGTGCTTGTCATGAAACGCTTTCGTCTTATCTTTGTAGATGCTTGCGTTTTCGTAAGACTCGTTTCTTAACTCCTCGATTTCTTGAAGTTGCATTTTTCGGTGCTTTCCACTTTCTTCAAGATTGAAATTGCACTTTTTAACCACCCAATATGCCTTGTGTTCCAATTCCACCGGTAAATGACAAGATTTTCCATAGACAAGGTGGAATGGATACATACCAATTGGAGTTTTGTAGGCGGTCCGATACGCCCATAAAGCATCTTCTAACTTTAAACTTCAATCTTTTCGGGTAGTGTTGACGGTCTTTTCAAGAATTTGTTTGACTTCTCTGTTTGACACTTCGGTTTGGCCATTTGTTTGTGGATGATAAGCGGTTGATATTCGGTGTGTGACACCATATCTCTTTGTCATTGCTTCCATCATTTTATTGCAAAAATGAGTGCCCCTATCACTCACCAAGGCTCTCGGTACACCATATCTTGCAAAAAATGTTTGACTTCAAGAAGTCAATAACAGTTTTTGAATCATCATGCCGTGTAGCCTTTGCTTCAACCCACTTTGAAACGTAATCAACTGCCAAGAGTATATAAGTATAACCAAACGAAATGGGGAAGGGAACCATGAAGTCTATTCCCCACACATCAAAGATTTCACAAATAAGGATAGGACTTTGAATCATCTCATGCCTCATGGATATGGTGCCCGTTCTTTGACATCTATCACAACTCTTGCAAAATAGATAGGTATCTCTTGACATTGTTGGCCAATAGAGTCCGCATTCAAGCACCTTTCGCATGGTTTTGTTTTGACCAAAATGTCCCCCGCATGCATATTCATGGAAAAATTTCAAAATTGACTCGACCTCATTTTGATGAACACACCTCCGTATTAGTTGATCCGGACAATGTTTCCAAAGATAAGGGTCGTCCCATATGTAGTATTTGGAATCACTCTTCAACTTGGCCTTTTGGTGCTTGGTAAAGGCGTGAGGAATTTCTTTAGTAACCAAGTAATTGACAATATCCGCATACCATGGAATGGAATTTGAGATATGGAAGAGGTGCTCATCCGAGAATTCATCTAGGATATGAGAAGAAGAATCGCCAACATTCAACCGACTTAAGTGATCTGCAACTAAGTTTTCGGCACCACTTTTATCCTTTATCTCAAGATCGAATTCTTGTAAAAGAAGAATCCAACGAATCAACCGTGGTTTGACATCTTTCTTGGTCATGAGATACTTTAATGCGGCATGGTCGGAATATACAATTACTTTTGTCCCAAGAAGATATTGCCAGAATTTTTCCAAGGTGAATACAATGGCTAGAAGTTCCTTCTCGGTGGTGGAATAGTTGGCTTGAGCATTATCCAATGTTTTAGAAGCATAGTAGATGACATGTGATGCTTTGCCCTCTTTTTGACCTAAGACCGCTCCAATAGCAAAATTGCTTGCGTCACACATTATTTCAAATGGAAGCTCCCAATTTGGAGGTTGGATTATTGGTGCGGAAGTGAGCAAGTCTTTAAGTTTGTCAAAGGCTTCTTGGCATGCAACATTGAAGTCAAGATCGATATCTTTTTGATGAAGAAGGCACATTGGTCGCGTAATCTTGGAGAAATCTTTGATGAATCTTCTATAGAATCCCGCATGACCCAAGAAAGATCTCACTTCTCTAACTCATGTTGGGTAAGGTAGGGTTTGGAAGACATCAATTTTGGCTTTATCAACTTCAATGCCCTTTTTGGAGACGATGTGTCCCAAAATGATTCCTTGATTAACCATGAAGTGACATTTCTCAAAGTTTAACACCAACTTTTTCTCTATGCACCTTTTCAAAATCTTCTTAAGGTTACCCAAACATTCATCAAACGAATTGCCATACACGGTGAAATCATCCATAAACACTTCGATTATACTTTCAACATACTCGGAGAAGATACTCACCATGCATCTTTGGAATGTGGCGGGAGCATTGCATAATCCAAATGGCATCCGCTTGTAAGCAAATGTGCCAAAGGGGCATGTAAAAGTCGTTTTGTCTTGATCTTCGGGGGCAACGGGTATTTGGTGAAAACCCGAGTATCCATCAAGGCAACAATAATGCGATTTCCCCGCCAATCGCTCGAGCATTTGATCAATGAAAGGAAGAGGGAAGTGATCTTTCCACGTGCTTGAATTCAATTTTTCTATAATCAATGCACACCCTCCATCCATTTTGAACTCGAGTTGGTACCATTACACCTTTGTTATTCTCCACAACCGTGATTCCCATTTTCTTGGGAACCACTTGCACCGGACTAACCCATTTGGAGTCGGAAATTGGATAAATCATATCTGCAGCAAGTAGCTTGATTATCTCCTTCTTGACAACTTCCATCATGGGAGGGTTTAATTGTCGTTGGGCTTCCCTCCTAGGTTTGCAATCATCTTCCATGAGTATCTTGTGAGTGCATACATTAGGACTTATCCCTTTGATGTCCGCTATGGTCCACCCCATGGCTTCTTTATGCTCTTTCAAGACTTCAATCAATTGGTTTTCTTCAAAGTCTTTCAATTGAGAAGAGATAATCACCGGTAAAGTCCCATCTTGACCTAGATAAGCATATTTCAAATGGATAGGTAAAGCTTTCAACTCAAGTGTGGGTGGTTGGATTATGGAAGGTGGCATCTTGATTGGAGAATGAGATAATGCAACTTGAGAAACATCCTTCTTTGTGGAATTAGTAATTTCTAAAGCCTTCACAATATTTTCGACTTCGGAATCCAATGTATACATATCCAAGGTATTCTTCAAACTTTCACCTTCAAGACTCATGTTAAGCACCATCTTCAAAAGATCCCCATTTGATAACTCGAATAATTGTTGGTGATTGGCT